ATAGTGCGAAGTTAGTCTTCTATAATTGGCAGACTGTAAACCACGTGGAAGAAAAACTCTGATTCTGATTGGCTTTATTTGGCGCTTGTTGTTTTACGCATAAATATTTTATTATCACGTACGGCATCGAAAACTGCAGATCAAAATAAATATTGATAATGTCTGTGTTGAGTTTATTCCAAATCCTGTTAAGTTTAATTATTATTTCTCTTTTTGTGATATATTCATTAGGAAAGAAATGGAGAAACAGAAGGAAACAACAGAAAAATGACTCGATTTTGAACAAATATGGAGAGAATTCGTCTGTATCTGGAGGTAAGCGAATAATTCAATATTTTTTATTATTTTAAATTTTAAATACCATTAATTTAACACGACAGAAGTGGTCAATTAATGTTAAATTAAGAACTAATGTTAAAGTGCCAGATTTGATCATTAATATCTCCAAGACTAACCAACTGATTTGGATGAAATTTGAATCATTTATTGTCCGTGATTAGAAGTACGGAAGTGCTAAAGTTTGAATAAATTATTTGAATCGTTTTCGGCAATTACAAATTCTGAAATTTCTATGTGATCCACAACAAAAGGGATTTTTGCGACACCAAGCTACTGGTATATCTATAATAAGTCTGCGTACACTTAAAAGTTCTTTCGACAGCCGACCAACTTTTTCTTGGTCCCTTTGAAGGTTTTATTTCAAAATATGGAGTGTTTATAAAATTATGAGCTCAATTTTTAAATATTAACATTTTATTTGTCGATTGTCTACCTGAAATAATGTCTGATTTTACTTTTGTGGTTCTTATTCACATATACGTAGAAAAGAAAAGTATGGGAATCGTGTTAGAGTACTTCTTCACAGTGTTTTGTAATTCTTCACTTATAAGAATGTTTGTCTACTACTGTATATAAAATGTTCGTGTGTCTCTGTTGTTAACTTTGTATTATATTATATTATATTTTTATCTGTGACGATGCTTATTTCTTCGATTTATAATTATGATGACATCTTTTTCCAAAACTTCCTGTAGTTGTAGTCTGTGTAATTTACACTTTATTCACACGTTGAATCTAAATCTGTTTCCCTATTCTTATGCCACAACTTTCAAACGTTCCATGTATTTAGATGTTTATGCTGAGCTCTACTTTTTCAATTTGGTTTTACCACTTTTTTGAGGGTTAAAATTGGTTTATCATTATTATTTTAAAAGTATTATTAGCTTCGGTTTCTTACAATAACTTAAAACAAATTTTTGTCGGTTGACTTATACACAGTTACTCTGTTTAATACAAAAACATAAAATAATAGTTAAGTACATGAATAAAACATGGATTCTGATAATTCGAATTACAGCTTTCGAGTGCCAGTACTTCTCGTTTATCTTTGGTGTGGCTACTTTGATTAATAGTCTCAATTTTACTTAATGTTACATCAGCCAATCTTCTTGTCAATTCAATGTTTGTGGGAAATCATGGTAATTGTCTTTAGCGTGATTCCTCTTCCAAATATTTAAAGGTGTTTTTTTTGCAAATCTTGTTTGGTTTTTTGAATCGTAGCCATAATAGCATCTACTAGAATCAATGCAGTCGTCGTACATTTTCTTCACTTTTCTAATGTTATCACAAAAACCTTTAACTTTACCTGAACAATAACTTTGTGTCGATTGTGAGTCTTTCATGTTAAACTTGAAACCTTTATTCTGTGGGCTTTTGAATGTCATAGTCTTAGCACTCTGTGAATTGGCTCACTTTCTTATATTCATACTTCATTAGATTTTTTCTTGTAATCGTGGTTCTAAGACCATCAGTTTATTTTGTTAGCTGTGCCAGTTTCTTAAATTTGTACATGATAAACGTGTTTCTTATACTTTAAATTACTGAAGAATTGTGTAAAAATTGACGAAAAGTTTATTATCAACAATTTGGCTACCATTTTTACTTCAGTAATAATACAACTAATAAATTTTACAATTAGGCAATAATATTTGGCATTAAAAAAAGTCCAGCAGTAAATTACGAAAAGTTACCGATTATTAATAGATTTTATTTTAAAAAATCACTTTTATATATAAATTATACTACTAATAAAATGTGTATAATAAAAAGTAAAGTTTTTATCAAGTTATAAGTTTATATCTCCCTATTTCTGGACCTTAATTAAATTACTAAAATTTAGTAGGATCAATGACGATTAATACACAAGTCACCGTGCCCAGTTTTCTTTGTTTAATATTTACTCCAAGAAATAAAACGTTTTTTAAGAAAGTAAAATATCAAAACAGATGGCGCAAAACGCAGTTTTTAATGTTGCTGGGAAAGGTAAGCAACTGGTTGCTTGAGTTTTAACGTTCGGTTTGAATTTCTATTGCTTTATTTACTGCTTTCTTTTAGTAAATTCAATGCATCTGACTTGTGTGACTTATTTATGTAAAAGTATTATCTATATTCTTATTTTTTTAAAGTACAGTATCAATATTATTAGACTTGTTCCTTTAGGATTGTTATTCTACAGAGATTTGACACCGGTTTTCATACTCGAAAATTTAACTTTGTCGAATATTTTAATTATGATGTATTTACTTACCATGTATAAGTTTTAAATACTTTTCAATGTTGACAATTAAACATTTTTTTATTTTTTGCTGTAAACCATAAGCTTGTCTTTAACCACATACGCCGTCTACAATCTTTTTCACCGGATCCGAACTATTTTATTTTCCGCTCGATTGGTTTGATCGCCATCTTGTTTTGTAGACGGATAGCATCTAATAAAAGGTCATTTCTGCAATGGAAGACCGTTGTTTTTTGTGATTCGACATGGCAAAATTCAAAATATCTTGGTCTTTTCTTTCTATTTTTATATATAAATTCGTCAGCCATGTATTGAATGAAATTCTTCTATAAAGCAGTTTCGAAATCAGGAAAAGGAGAATATTTATCGAAATTGCTTGTATTGTTTAAAAAATTGCTTATTGTGATTACCTAACAATAAGTCTGAAAGTTTCGCATCTCAATTTTTTTAGAAGTAAAGTTAAAATCAAGGTTTTTCATTTCAATAGGAATTTGTTACTTGAATACAAATTTATCAATACGGTCAAGGAAAAACAACAAAGTGAAGGTAATTGCTGTAAAATTAACTCATTATTATATTCTTATAGTTCCTCGAATTTATTCATGCGTGTTACATTTAAATTTCTATTTTACTGAAACAAAGAACAATCAATAAGAATGGAAATTTCCACCGAGTTATAATTATTATTCTGAATTTTTTAATTTATATTTTTAAAAATTTAAAACAGTAAAAAAATAAAAAATAAAATAATTTGTTACTATAAAGTATAAAGTGAGTATAAAGTAACAAAATTTTTAAAGATGCCGAAGTGTTTGGCTACGCACTCCAAACAAAACTTGAGGCCCGCTCACGTTTTCTTATATATCGAGCTTATATAGATAAATATTGGGAAAAATCGTAATCTTGTCAGGATTTTTCGCGGATTAACGCGCGTTTAAATACTATTAAATAAATTTAGATAGGAGGGCTATTCCTATTAGTGGAGCGTTGTGTAAACGAGCGATAAGATCAAATTTATGACATACGATACATAACTATTATGCTGTAATTCGAAATAACTGTAGACCTATGAATTCTTACTGTCGATTGACTGTCTGCATGTCTGTCCTTAATGTCAAGAAGGCGATGAGATATACGAAGAACCAGACAAGCCGTGGAAATCCTCTGCACGTGCGGCCCTGAATAACAATTTACGAATTTTCGTTGAAAATCAAAGTCATGTTATTTCAATTCAAATATTTTTTCCTGAAAAGGATTAGATAGATGACCGGCACGATCGTAATGTTAAAGGAAAAGAATGATGTACAGGGGTAAACAATCACTAATTTGAGTCGAGGGCTTATATTTAAAATTAAATAAATAAGAATATGACAAAAAAATTGCTGCTTGTCATTCTGACGATGTTGCAACTTTATAACACCAACTTTCCAAATAACCCAAATAATGTCAAGACATGGGAACTTCAGTTGTTATCTCAAAAGACAAAAGACAGACGGACTTTGTACTTATCAAACGAATCAAGAAGATAACACGGAGCATGTTTTGTTCCACTGTCTCCACTACAGTAGGCAAAGGAAGGTGTTAATAGACTCTGTGCGAACAGCAAATGAACTGTAGCCTTGCCTATTAAAAAATTTAACGTGTAGCAAAAGACTATTTAATGCACTAAAAAACTTTGTCACTAGCATAAAAATCCTCGACTAAATTTATAGTGTTCGCCTACAACTACAAGGTGTTTACTTTCTGCACAAGTTTTATCTTTGTAATTCTGTATCCCTAGAATTGTACATGGGTCCTCTTCGTTTTTATAAGTTTTTAAAACACTATATTATTGTATGGGTACACAATCTGTAAATATATCACTAAACAAGGGCTTCTTATTTGTTAACTTTGTACTACAATCTCATATGTCTTCAGGGTAAATTGATGTATATTTTCCAAAAGTGTACAACTACATTTCTGTAAAATCTATACTTGTACGAGTTTAAATTAGTAACCGTAGTTTTTAATTTAGAATATATCTTCTTTGTATCTGCTAAATTTATTACATCATTAATACAGTGTATTGCTACAATAACTGAAAGCTCAAAACTCGGCATGTATTGATAACTCTTCAGTGTAAATACTGTATTCAAATTTTGTACATACGTTTTCTTTGTAAATATTTTCTTTCTTTGGTTGTAAAAAAGCATCGCGGTGACCATCGGGTCGCATCGAATATCTTAAATAATTAACTTTCATTCTGTCCTATCTCGCTTCATTTCACCTTCAACCTGAACCCTTCCTAGAACATTTACTCTTTTTTTTTCATGTTTCTTGGGCTATACCAAAGAGTGCGGCCAGTAAACAATTCTCTACTGACGATGTCGCAATAATGATTGCTTATTATCAACTTTCATTTTTATAATAGACATTAATTTTTCAGAAAATAAAGACAACGGGCAGGAGTTAAAAATGAATCTTCCGACTATGTCCTTTTTACCATTTTTGTGGAACATTGCATTTTCTCAACGTGACAAGCAATACCACGATTCATACATCGGAATACGTATGTCATTAATATTTTATTGGGTAATTTGACTGTTTATGAATAGATGATATAATTTTTCGTAACTTTTTAGTAAGTTTAAATATATCTGCGGGACTCTCTATGCTATTTCCAAACGAGAAAGTTGCCTGTATAAATATACTTGGATATAAATTAATTTTTTTCTTACATCCAGAATCTGCAAAGGTAATAAACACGCCTAGTTATGTAATATATTCATTACGAATGTAAATATTTAGTATAACGTTTCGTAGGAAGTGTTAAAAAGCAAAAGTTTAATCAATAAGGATTCTACATGTGATTTCTTCAAGCCACTTCTCGGAAACAATACTTTTTTTTGCAGGTAATGCATTATTTGATATTCAGTTTAAATATCATTGTTTACAGTTTTTTGAATTTAATTAAATAAAGTTCTGACGATGATTGGAGAAGAAGAAGAAAATATTTAGCTCCGCATGGACAAGTTTGGAATCTGAAAGATGATCAAGATATATTTATGGAGCATTCAAACGTCTTAGTCGAAAAGCTCAAACAATTACAGGAGAATGAAATATTCGATATTCTGGAATGGACTAAATATTGCACTCTCGATATTATTGCAGGTATTTCTAATGTAAAATATTTAATTAAGAATTATAAATAATTATTTTTTTATACGTAAACATTAAATAAGTGTTTATTTTTTTCTGTTATTGTTCGTCATGTAGAAAAAGTGTGAAATGAATTTTAAAAAATAATGTATAGGCCTATACATATTTGTGTCACTGTAACAAAAGTAAGCTACCGAACTTCCTTCAATGAAACCAACAATGAAAAGGGGCGAAAATTCAAATAGTTTTTTACCACTTACATGTTTCACGGTAATTAGTCGTGTAAATTCTGACGCACAACACGACTTCCTTTCTTGTGTAACTGTTATTTTTATTAACACTATCCCTGTCTAGAGACAGTAGTTATAACTATAGCTGACTTTAACCAATTTTCTACTACCAAACTAATTAATTTCATTTTTTGTATACTACTGTTTTCTTTTAGTAAAATTACTTTGTTTTGTGATACATTCACGACACGGAATATTTTTTTCAAACGTCGTATATTTATTTATTTAAAAAATATAAATATCAATTTACTTCTATGTAGAACTAACAGTAGGAGTTTCTCTACATTCTCAGACTACGAACGATCAAGAATATGTGTCTGCAATGCACAGGTATGGAAAATACAGTTCCAGATATATTTCTTCACTTTTCAAATAATAATTAACATGTAATATCTATATCAAATAATATAAAGTTAGTTTATATTTGATAAAATTTTTAAAATCTTTAAGCCAAATTCAATAGTAGAAACGTGAAACATTCTAAATTTTGATTTATATAGTTAATTTCATCAATTAACCAAATATTAAAGCTTTGTAAATTATAAATAAAGTGTAAATGCTATACCTACCTAGGTACCATATCAGAATCCTGATGTAAGCGAGCACCCGGAGCAATTTAATAAGTGGTTAGTACGTGCCGAGGTGTATCCTACGAAGTTACATTCATAGTGGTTCCACGTTGCCTTCTCTGGAGCGCGACATTACGGGAGGGAAAAAAATGCTTTCAGGAAGGTCTTGTAAGGGAAACTGGCCCCTAGTGAAGTGTTACTAACGTGGAGAAAGTTCGGAAAACTCCACGTGGTCAGCACGACCGAACTCCCAGTGTTTAGCAACGGAACCGCTCGGCCACTGGAGGGCGTGATCTTCATCAGGAGTTGTAAAAAATGTGTACGAAAAAGTATGAAGGAAATCGTTTCTAAATAAACAGAATGTGTTAATTTAGTATGGATTAAAGATTTTAGCATTAATTATCAGTTATAATGTTTACAACGTAAACTTCATGCATTTCCTACACACGTGAGACAATTTGTAACCTGAACGACAAAAGTGTGACGGATCAACTTTCCTGCAAAGCGTACCGTTGTCGCAATAAATAACTAGTATTTATCTATTTTTGTGTATTTCTCCTATTGCCTGAATACTATAGGAGAAGTCTTTATGATAACACTTAACGTTTAAATATTCATTCATAATATGAAAATATACAATCCATCAACTTATTTCTAATATTTCTAAAAAATAAATTAATTACGATATAAAATAGCATTTTTGAACATGAAAAATGCAAAAGTTGCATTTATTAACATTTATGATTTAAAGTATGTATTTTTTTATTTTAAATAATATCAAATTAATAGATTTTTATTATGTTTTTCATACGAAATATAATTTTAAATTTTGTGTAGATTTAATAGTTGACAATAGTTTATTTCTATTTCTTATACAAACTTTAAATTTGCATTAATTATTTTTTGATATAATAATAATTTACATTAAAATTTAGAATTGTGAAATGTTTTCCTGTATGGTTAGTAAATCCATTGTACTGGTTTTTTCCAATTTTCTTCATGAGTAAAACGGGGAAAAATTACAAAAAAGACATTGAAATAATTCATCGTTTCGACGAAAAGGTAAACTCAACTAGTAAATAGAATTTTGTGTTTTGATTTAAGTAATGAATGATTTAATTTAATGTGTAGCTGTTTAAGAGAAGAAAAGAAAATTTGGTGAAAAAAATGCAGCAGCAACATTCCTTAGACAAAGAGACACATAATGAAGAAGAACCAAAGATGAAAACAAAACAGCGTATTATCGATTCCCTGTTGGATCTTCATGTCAAACAAGGTTTAATATCGGAAGAAGACGTTATCAGAGATATGGGAGCTACTATTTTCGCGGTAGGCATAATTTACTAAAGGTATGATCGGGAATAATTATAAAATCTTGCATTTCAATATTATTTTTATTATGCTGAACTAATATAATGTTATCTAAACAACGTATCGAAATATAAGTAATTTCACAAAGAGTTAACGCAGCGACAAAAATTATAATTAAAGTATAACGTAAAACCTATTTCAAGAATAATCATAATTACTTTCTTGTAATTGACAACACTACGTCTTGTTTATAAAATCGCATTGCCTGTTGTCTTACCAGCATAGAGGTATGAAGGAGTATACATGTCAGGAGTTGTAATTTGGCGCAGAGTATTAAATGCCCAAATCATGCGCCCTTAAAAACAGTTGACTTGTAGGTAACGCTTTTATTGTCATAGAACGCAATGTAACGGCGTTCAACCACCTTTTTAAAATATATTTTATAAGTTTTAACAGAATTTTTGAAAATTTGATGTTTGGTCCGCGGTGAATCGCTCTGTTGAGCATAGAAGATCGGCAGCAAAATTATTAAAACGGTCCCGCTCCTGCTTGCGTGCCAAATCTTGTGTACGATGCATGTAATATGTTATTAGAAATCTAATGAGCGTTTCACCATGCTTGTTTCTTAAAAAAAGCTCTGCTTGTAAGTACTTCTGAAACCGAGAACAGAGTCAAGATAATATTCAAAATGGCGACACTCTCTACAAACAGGCAGTAATGCGAGATTTGCGCATATGTTGCTCGTTGGAAAATTGGAAACACAAATAATGTGAAATCGAATTTTGACAAATGAATCTTTGAAAAGACCCATTTAGCTCTTTCGTGTTATTCCCCACACATTTCTGGTTGTCACGTGCTGACTTTGACCGATTGACCGGACATGTCTCGTTTCATCAATGGAACGTTTTTGATACTAAATTGCCCATCGTTATAATTTTATATTAAAACTAACTTTCGAAATATGATATGTTTTCTTTTTACATTTATCAATATACGAGGTATATATATTATTTGAACAAAAAAATAATAAAATAATTTTGGACGATACAATAGCCACGATTATTTTTTCAAAAACGGGAAATTTTCGTTAGGCATAGGCAAAAATTTAATCTGGAGCGACACGCAACGGAGAGAAATTTTGAAATTGGATAGGTTAATGTCTCTTGGTCGTGGCCGTGGCCGGCGATGTTTCAAAGATCGCGCTCAATAGCAGCGATACAAAAGAACAGTGTTTTTCAACCTGTGGGTCGCGACCCCCAGAGGGGTCGTGAAGCTTTACACGGAGGGTCGCGGGTAAAAGAATAAGACAAGTGTTTGTAGGTCCTACACTACATTAAAAAACTACAATTTCAGTGAGAATGCTGTACCTGTTTATTATACAGTACAGTTGGTTTTTTGATCGACATTCAGGCCTCAACGATGGGTATAGTCAGGGTAGGGCCCGGGTGGGTACGGGCCACCCCAGAAAATGATAGCCTAATAGTGTTCAGCTGACTTGCAAAAAGAAGTATTAAGTAGAAAAGTAGAAGTTGAAAATTTTCATCCTAAACGAAAAAAAAATGTTAACAGCACCCCGAGCCCAATGTTATAATGAAAAAGAAGTTTCACAGTTTACGTGTCTAAAGTTATTGTCGATTTTTTTCAAATTCACGTTTTAATGAACAATAATTTCTCTCAACAGAAAAAAATGAAATAGATAGTTTTTAAAATTACTGATATAGTTTTAATATGGCCCTAGGGGGTCGCCAGAATTTTTTAACTTGTAAAGGGGTCGCGTATTCAAAAAGGTTGAAAAACACTGCCTTAGGCCATCTTGTCATCAGGTTCAAAGGCACTAACTCTTACGTTATTGCCTCTGAGCTCAAACATTGCAAACACAAAAAAATTCCTTGGTGGACCCTGAAGTAGAAGACAAAAACAAAGTTAGGTGAATAAAAAAAAATTTAGGAATGAACAAGACCCAGATATTAAAGTCATATTTATAGACCAGCATAGGCACGAACACAACGCTTACGAAACCCTTATAAATAAAACAAGGACTAACACTTGAAAGGATTTCTGTACCAACACTGGCGGTCTAACTCCTGGTCTGAACCATACTACTAAGCTTCAGTGGCGTGCCGTCATTAGAAACGTTGGAAGCGCCGCTTCCCTCGTATTCTTTAAAGAATAAATAAATATCAATTTTAATTATATGAAAATAATCGCACAATATTTTATTATAACCGCATTATGTATCTTATTACAAATTTCTATACTACACGTGGAAAAAAAAATTGCTATTGTATATACGAATGTTAGTGGCTGAGTGTGATCTCCTGTATTTTCAGATTACGAAAAGCCAGATTTGCCCATGCGCTTTACAGAGCACCAATCTTACTTGGTTTAGCCGGTGGAAGCCTACGGCCTTGGGTGAAAGCTGCACACATATAAAGATTCCAATTCTATCAAGGACCAGTTCTGGGCTGTTAGCCGCCTGCCCGCTAGATATTTCGATTACGTGAATAACGAGTAGATTTATAACTTAACCCAACCGATAAGAATTTACTGGTATGTTTTTACGATAGTTCTGTATAGTTGACAGGAGTTAAAAAAAT